TCAAAATTGAAAATAGCAAATTGTTAATAAAACGATGATTGAAATCATTAAAATTTAAAGTTTTTAAACATATTAAAACAGACTTAGAATTAACAAATTAACATTTCATTGTCATTAGATCTCAAATAAAATAGTAATTGAACGTTAAAAAAAAATTCTATACGAAATTTTGGCGTATGCGTATTAACGTTAATTATAACGGTATATAGAACTAATTAAATTGCGATATGCAGCACTGCCACCATGTCGTAATTGTGAATTGCAAAATGCGGCCCGAATATTAAGATTTACCAATTTAATAGACAAGAAAACCGGGTATTGATCATGTAAAATTCTTGTTAATCAACAGATAAAAATGACTTCAACATGCTCAGAAAGAGCACCTGATAATGTGTACCAGTTGATACGCCACGGCTTACTTTTGATAATTACGTAACGGTAATATAACGATAATAGCTAAATTTTTTTTAATTTTATGCGTAACGATGTAAAGCTTATCGAAGGTATGCAAATTTTATGATAAGTAAGTAAAGTATTTCTAATAAACAGCCACCTTTGCCTATATTACTTCTATTGAATTTTGAATATTAATTTGTAAATTGAGAACTGACATAAAAATTGAAAAGTCTGAACCTGCATTGATGGTTAAGTTGACTATTTGGCATTTTCAACATAATTCTACTGTATATCAAAGGATAAAATTCAAAGTGGTTAATTAAAATGCAGTCGTCATTAGTCCAGCGAAGAAAGTCTTTGTATAATAAATGAAAATATTAATTCAATTTCAATTTAATGTTAAGAAAAAAAAGAACCCAAGAAAGATACACAAATTGTTTAAAAAATAATTAACTATTTTGTTTTTTCTTTGCTTTAAAATAAAACTTTCAAGAGTCAGTTTATTAGAAATCGTAATCGGCAAATGATAATATATGTTCTAAGGTTTCCTGTAGTAATATGTTCAGTGAAGTTGGAAGGTTGCAACCTTTTATTCTAAAGTTGTAATTTTTTGCTGTAATGGTCGTAATTGGTATAATGGTCGTAATAGGTGTAATGGTCGTAATAGTTGTAATGGTTGTAATGGTTGTAATAGGTGTAATAGGTGTAATGGTTGTAATAGGTGTAATGGCTGTAATAGACGAATACCGTACCGTTCCGAAATTAAGCACCACCCTTCTACCCAATTTTTTAATCTCAGATTAGCGGGAGTAATTTGGCCAAAGATCTTATTACAATTTCCGCTAATCTGAGATTAAAAAATTGGGGTAGAAGGGATGGCGCTTAATTTCGGAACGGTACGGGTAGGTGTAATGGTTGTAGTAGGTGTAATAGCTATAATAGACGTAATGAGTCTGGTCAAATCGAGTCAAGCAGGATTAATTGCTTATAAGCAAAGATAATAGTTACAATCTGATCAAATTATTTGTAACGGTAAGGCATTGAATGAGAAGTCGAAATTAAAAGTATAAATTACTTTATTTTTCAAAAATTTGCAGGTGTGGGTGATGCCTATAGAATTACTACGTACACTTAATAATTCGACTGTTGTTATCATAATTATACCGAACACTTGTTTGTTACAATGATTATGACAATTACAACCATTACGATATATTACGTACAACTTTTGGTATAAGTTGCAGTTAGAGTTGCAGCCTAGATAGTAATTCGCGATGTCCGTAATTATTACTTACGGCCGGCAACCTTAATATAGTTCATTTCGATTTTTCGATTAGGTTCAAAGTTAGAAAATGCATATTTGTTGTGCGAAATTGGAGAATCAAAATAACTATAACACATCATTATATTATGTAACTGATATTGGAATCTGATTTCCGGCGCTGTTCGATAGAAAGGGAAATTTTATATTAGGATCTTGGCGTCGCAGCAATGTGGCACTGAAAGCATTGTGGCTAGTATATTTGATTTCTATTTTTCTATTTGGGGAGGCGGGCGGAAAGTATACCTAATTGCGGTTTGCGGTTTTTGTGGCAAAAAATGTGGCACTTCCGTAACAACAGTGCTACAACGAAGTTTTTGGAATCATGTTACACGATATTTTATAATAAGGGTAGGAAAACGCGTCATATAATCACATAAATTGTCTTCTTTTGTGACATAAGGGAGAGTCGGGTATTATGGCACATTTAAGAATTACACATAGAAAAATCAACATAGTGAAATTAAAAGAAAATTGAACACGTGAATAACACGTGAACAATACCTGAACCATAATATTTGAACATAATTCAGAAATTAGAACCATGCAATTTTTATATACGTCTCAATGAGACGAATAGAATGGTATTAATATAATTTGATTCTGAGTGCTGTTTACGGGATATAGCTGATATAATCGTAATCATTTGAGGGAGGGGGGATTTTACTATTTACAAAAAACCAGCCGATAAATGACACTTTCCTGATGATAATAGATTCTGTGGCAATTGATATCATGCCAGATGATCAAGATGATCAGATTGAAATAAAGAGTAAATGAATGAATTAACTATTTACATTAATTATTTGATGTATGATAACGTTCCCTATTTAATAATTCCCGTTATAGTCATATCCCTTAAGCATTGCCCACGTCTTTTTCTGAATATGTTTGTATATTTGCTTTTATTCAGCAAATTTATTATATAAAATGTAAAGCAATATACTCCTGGATAACGAATAAAGCTATTTATATATTAAAATAATGTTATTACCTAATTACTGTATATAAATTATATATATATATATATATATATATATTATATATATATATATATTATATATATATATTATATATATATATATATATACTGTTATTTCTGTTATTAATACGTATAATATTATCAGTTATGTTACAGTGCACGTGACATAATATTTAGGTAAGTGATCTTAGGTTTTTCATGTTTGTTTGATAATTATCTTCTGTCAAATATTTTATCTTCTGTCAAATGTTTTATCTTTTGACAAAAGTTTTATTTTCTATCAGAAGTTTTATCTTCTAACAAATGTTTTATCTTCTATCAGATGTTTTATCAGATGTTTTATATTTTATTAGATGTTTTATCTTCTATCAGTTTTACTTCTGTCAAATGTATTTGGGCTTGTCTTCAGATGCATGAAGTGTACCCGCTCGGAATTATTGCTTAATACATGCAAGAAAGATCTTCAGGCAGGTGGCAATTCTGAGTACTACATAAATCACAATAATTTTTTTTAAAAAAAAGATAAATATAGTAGAAAAATTTCTTATGCTACTTATTATTGGTAGAAAATTTTTATATTTTATATTATAGGTTATTTTAAACAAAAGCTCAAAATGTCTTAGCTTTTACGGCGTGCGATATTATTTTATGGTATACAATGCCAAATACACATTCACAATAAACATTCACAATAAACATTCAAACATTCATAATAAACATCAATAACAATAAACATTAACAATAAAACGTTCATGATTTTCATCATGCTGATATATTTGAGTTAACCGCTCTGTTTATCTAACAAAAAAATCATATTTAAACCAATGCAATCTATTTTCATTAATATCTTATCATCCTTACAATTATTTCTTCTGTACGTTATTTGTTTTAATTGTTTTAAAAATTGATGATAAGTTAATTACACTTATTTTTTTTTTATAGTTCACAATTAGATATGCACATATGTTGTACTGGTACCTACATATCACTAATGACCTCCCAGTTCCAAATACGTATTTAATTCTAATGATTGGCTATATCGGAAATAATTCCGTTAGATGTTAAAAAAAGTAAATGCACACAATGTACGTTTTTTTATTTTAACTTATTCGTTGGCCCTTGTTCTCTTTTTTGGGAATCAAATATTGGTTCTTTAATTTTCGTATTTATAATTATAATGTATTTATAATTTCCAATCTGGGATGCCGTGATCTTCACAGCATTCCTTAGTCGTCCACTTTCTTTTTTATCCGCGTTAATTTTTCAATATCGCGATTTTATGATGATTTTATCAATTGACAAGCATGTATCGGTTATTCTTTCAATATTGCATTGCCGATTTCTTTTTTTCTTATAAATTCTTTAAAATTTCCTCAATTTTTCCTCAGCACATTTCTGTGCCCGAATATTTTAATAAATACTTAAAATTTATATATCTTATATAATGTCTTTTGTCTACTGTGATATAATCATCCCTGTTCATAAAAGCGATGACGCAATATCTACCGAAAATTCTTCTAGTTCTCAATTAACTCCTTTATCTCTTTATCATGATTCATTATCAAATTTTAAACTTCCATTCCCTCCAATCATTAATGCTTCCGATTTCTTAGAAAAAACTAAACGGTCATCACGGGGTGGTACCCTAAGAAGCCCAAATGCCTTTTTAGTTTATAGGAAAGCTTTTTTAGATCATCTTGTTCGTCAATCAAAATGTAATTTTAAAATGACTGATGTATCAAAATTAGTTAGTGTTCACTGGAATTCTGAAGCTGAACATGTTAAATTAGCTTATAAAAAAATTGCTCAAGATGTGGAAAAGGAATTAATCAAAAATAGAAAGAAGGATTTATCTACAACTCGAGTTATTTGGAAAGATTTTAAAACTTCTGTACGTAAACATAATAAACAAAATAACAAAAAATCTTCAAGAGAAAAGTTCAAAATGACAAAGAATCGTAATGATCCATTTATCATGATGAGTCGACTAGATGATGATCAAGATTTTGTTCCTGAAAATGTTGTTTACACTTTACCAATCGATGAGTCTACTAATTGGGCTTGGATGATGCCTGAAAATTTCATTCCTTCTCCGGAGTCAACACCTTGCAGTTCAGCTTTCATTCCTTCTCCAGAGTCAACTCCTTGCAGTTCAGCTTTCATTCCTTCTCCAGAGTCAACTCCTAGTAGCTCAGCTTTCATTCCTTCTCCAGAGTTAACTCCTTGTGGTTCAGATTTCATTCCTTCTCCAGAGTTAACTCCTTGTAGTTCAGATTTCATTCCTTCTCTAGAGTCCACTCCTTGTAGTTCGATCATTACTGTTCCGTTAATCCCAACTCAATCCATAGTTGAGGATTCATCACCAGAAATTAATTATAACTATGATTATAGTTACATGATCAATTCTGAATTTTCGTATTTTACAAATGGCAATGATCTTGTTCCCGAAGATCCCTTACACGTTCTTTATTAATCGTTAATCCATAAAATAAAAAACATAGACTGTAAAATTTTTTTAGATTTTTTTTTTTTTCTCGTTTTAGAATCACTTTTCGGATAGATCGTTTTCGTATATATCGTTAGTTACCGACGCTTAATTTAGAACTTAGTATATGTCTTTTCATAAGTTTAAAAAAAAATATAATACTTGGTTATATCTGATATGTAGGCTATTATTTACACTTCTCCTTCCCTCTGCTTATGCTTAATTATTTCCCGCATTTTTTTTTTATCTCGTTTAATATAAGTTATAAAATTTATGCAATATATTAATTATAGTAATTTATGACAATTTTTTAAAATCAACATCTGAATATTTCAAGCAAATTAAATTAGATAGATGAATAAATAAATATAGATATTTCGGCATTTAAGTTTTTTTTTTTTTTTTCCCTAAAACAAGTTATCTATTAAAATATATATATGAATAAAATAAATTTAAATCTTTCGGCATTTGAAAAAAAAAATTTTTTTCTAAAACGAGTTAACTATTAAAATATATGAATAAATCAATTTAAATTTTTTCGGCATTTAATATTTTCCCTAAATTAAATTTAACTATTAATAGATTTTTTTGCAAAAATATGAAATGACTGGTTTACACGTTAAAATTTCATTGTATAGCATTGCAATTACATAATTATATAATAGATATATATAATTAATCTGGCTACCGCTACGGTTTGACAACACTAATCTTCTTTGTCCCGATTTACGTTCTCACTACAGTTTGATATTTCATACAGTCTAATGAAAAAAGCTGTTAGACTGATATGTCTAATGGTCCATTAAACTAGAATGTCCAGCTTACTGCCTGCACAGTATCTACATAAAATGCAGTAATTTAACGGTTTAAAAAGCTGATTTCTGGACTAAACATACAAAAAACGGAATTTTCGTACCCGATACGTTAGGGTGCATCAAACCAATAAAATCAAACCATAAGAAACGTATGTGCTAAATTACTGCGGTTAATAGTTTTGGTTAAGTTTTCTCTTGAAATAATATAATAATTGCTAGTCGAATTTTTGGTAAAAGACATATTAACCCGTTTGTAATAATGAATAATGGCGTTTTTTTTTTTCGATTCATTCCATTTACTAGTAGCTAATTATTCGACAAAGTGAACAAACTTACCCAATTTTGACAATAATGAATTGATTAAATTTTGTAAAACCGAGGTTATTATCAAAAAGAGAGGAATAAAAGCTACAAGCTAAAAAATATTTTTCTGATAGATAAAAATGTTATGTTCTTAGCTTAAAAACCATGCCATTATAAGTTTATTAAAAATTATTACTATTTTCAATTTATATCTTTGATTAAAATGATATTATAAATTAACAATGGCAATATCTAAATAATAGCAATATTTTTTAAATAAAGAGGTCAAATATATTGCTAAAAATGTAATAAAAGTACAAGTAACAGTAACTATAATAATACTTTATCAAATTTACTATACCGTATTAGCAAGTTTACAATTATTTTTATTTTTTTTTACTAGCTCTTAGGACCCGGCGTTGCTCAGGTTCGAGGTTTTAATTTTTTTCTAATTCTTAGAACTTAGTATTGCCCAGGTTTGAGTTTTTAATTTTTTCTAATTCTTAGACTTTGATTATTTTAGCTTTTAGTTTCTAGGCATTACCTAATTAGGTTTAAACAAACTTGAATTAGGTTTAAACAAACCCAATTGGGTTTAAACAAACCTGAATTGGATTTAAATAAACCTATATTGGGTTTATTAAAACCTATCTTGAGTTTAAATAAACCTATCTTGGCTTTATTTAAAACTATCTTAGATTTATTTAAACTATACTTAGATTAATTTGAACCTATTTTGGGTTTATTTAAACCCAATATAAGTTTAAATAAACCCAATTTGGGTTTAAATAAACCTGACTTAAATTTAAATAAATTTATCTTAGGTTTAAATAAATTATCTTGGGTTTATTTAAACCCAACTTGGGTTAATTTAAACCTAACTTGGATTAATTTGAACTTGGTTTGGGTTTATTCAAACCCAACTTAAGTTTATTAAACTTAAGTTAAGTTCAAATAAGCCTGTATTATTTTTTAATTTTTTATTTATTTTTTATTTTTTCTTTTTAATTTTTTTATGATTTTTTTTTTGATTTTTTTTTTTGATTTTTTTTTAATTTTTTTTTGTTTTTTTTATACATTTTTTTTTTGAAATTTTTTTTTAATTTTTTTTATTTTTTATATTTTTTTTATTTATATATATATTTTTTTAAATAAATATTTTTTTTAAATTAACTTTTTTTTTTAATTATTGTTGCTTTTTTAAAACTTTTTTTTTAAAATTGTTTTTTAAACCTTTTTTTTAACTTTTTTTCAAACTATTGTTAATTTTTTTATTAATTATTTTATATATATATTTATTTATTAAATTATATCTTTAAATGATAAATAATATTTTTAATACAGAGTAATTAATAAAACTTTTATTCAAATTACTTACTAAACCTTTGCTCAAATTATTTTTTTATATAACTTATTATTCAAATTACTTATTAAACCTTCGCTTAAATTAATTTTTTATATAGCTTATTGGGCTTTACTCAAATTACTTATTAAACT